AAATTATTTTTTAAAAAATTATAAAAAATTATAATAGATTTATAATAAATTTACAATAATTTTATATATAAAATCAAAAATTTTATTTTGAAACTTTCTGATTGTAATTTTCATGAACAATACTTAACATTAAGTACAATTACAAAATTATTTATTAAAACTCAACCTCATTTAATTCAATTATATCATAATTTATAATATTTTCTTTAACTTTTTTTTATAAAAAATAGAGAAATATAGTAAATAATGAAAAATTACAGAGTAAGTCTCCATCTCATGGCAATATAGCCTAAAGCAGCATATCCTAAAGATAAAAAGTATAACTCACAACACTAGTAATAGATTTAAACTATGTCCATAACAGATATAGATAATTAAGTAAAAAGAGTCATCTGCAACTAGAGATTGTGATTACAATCGTTGTATGAGCTAAATAAAGCTACTAATGTAAAAAGGAGAGTTACTATGAGCATTGGAAGCTACTAGACCTCCTCACTTATTTAACCAGCTTTATAGGAAGAGCAAGGGATTTTAGCAACAAACAATCTCCAACCCATAAGTTGTTGCCCTATTTATTCATTGAGGAATAATCAACAGGAGGGGCATGGTCCTCCATCCAAGCTTAGGCACCTCTCTCATCTCCATGAGCTCCCAACCATGGCCCTAACTATTCCAATCCTCTTTAATCCCATGTTGTCGAAATTCATTAAGGGAACGAGAGCCCTTTTAGCGACTAGAATAGCATTCTCCCCTTGTAGAACACCATCGGCTTCACCAACAACATTCCTTTCCTCCTACTTTCAACCGGAAAACCCAATCGACTGCCAATGACAACCACCCGGATCAACAATTACAATAGCAATAGGGGATTGTGAAACAGAGGATTGTTGCAGTTGAGAAACATTTGTCTAAAGCAAAACCAGTCCACCCCCCACCAATGCAATCAACGGTAAAACCGTGTGCAAACCCTAGATCTAAGCAAATAAGATGCATCGCAATAGTGGATTGCTTTGTTTCAAAGAGGAAAATGATGCTGGGCTTGTGCAGGAAACAAAGCTTCTTTAGATTTGAAATCACAAAGTCCTCCCCAAGACCTCCCCAAGCCAATATGCGATTCAAATCCAAGAAGGGAATAGGGAATCGAGACAAAAAGCAAGAAATAGAGAGGAGGGGCCTTGAAAAAAATAGGGAGAAACATCGAAGTGAGAGGCTCACCCACCAGAGATGGAAAACCCTAGTAGCGACGACAAGAGAAAAAGAGACTTCTAAAACTCATTGATAATATTTTATTTAACTTAATCATTAGTTTATTTAAAAATTTCATGAAAGATTAAGAACTCGTTC